GTGTGTTCTTTCTGTCTAACTTACCGTCACCGACATACGACAGCGTGACTCCACAACAACATTCTCCATACGTGGTCTCTAGTGACGGCCTGAATACAACATGAGCAGCAGCGGGAGCATACGCAGGCAGTAAAACCTGTACTGGTAGTCATTTTCACGCGTCGCCCCATGGTGGGCATCCGACACTGCGTTCGGTCATTGCTCAGCTCACCAGTTGCGTTCCCGGCATCGTGTTGACGACGGCCGGGCGCGTCACCTTCTTGGCGAAGCCGGAGTTGGGCAGTAGCATTGTACGGTACGCTATCTCCTCCTGCATATCGGTGGTCCCAGCAAAATACGCCGGGAAAGAGCGACACACGAGAAGAGGACCGTTTTGGCGCCAAGAGCAAAAAAAGAGAGGTCTCCATGCGGGTGATCCTTCTTCGAAAAACACTGTCGGCGAAAGAAACAGGGGTGAACAAGATCCTTGATCGCGACTGATACTGCTGCTGGTGTAGCACGGCCTACACGCCATTGATCGACGAGACAACACGGGGGGAAACGGATGGAATGCGTCGGATGCTGTCCTACGTGTACAGGCATGACCGCCTTTGTGTCCACGCTCCCGTGCTCACAACACCCAGACAAGCGCGTACTGGTGTACTCCCTTGTGGTGGTATGGACTCTGGTTGCACGAACGCGAGCGAGCGCAATTTTTCTATCCAGACAAGCGCGTACTGGTGTACTCCCTTGTGGTGGTATGGACTCTGTTTGCACGAACGCGAGCGAGCGCAATTTTTCTATCCGTATCTACGTAGGATGGTCGACTGTTGGCTGTTACTGATGAATGTGTGGGACTCACCTGGCGTTCCCTGTAGCTGTCAAACTCCGCTTGCGCCAACTGTGGGAGTTGCAGGGCCTCCTCGGGTGTTAGGAACATCTGCAACAGTGGTCGCATCCAACCGAGACGCAGCAATCCGAACAGCACGGTTACACACACGTTGGCACGGATAAATACACCGGGAGCTAAGGGTAGGGTTGGGCGTGTGCCGGTGAAGATCCTGCCAGACACAGGGCTTGGAGGACATCTGCTGAGTTGGCTAAATGTTGCCGGCGATTCACTCAAGAACACACACACAAACTCTCGTTCGTTTCCTAACCAACGTTCTCAAAGAGACAGATCTCGACGGCTATGGGTAGTAAGGTGATGAGACGAGAATCGTACGGACGGAAGGTTGCTCGACTAACGATTTGGTGGAAACAACAATGGAAATGGAGCGATCTTATCGGAATCCTGGGTGGAAACAACGTGTACAGGATCCGGAGCATGCCGTCGCGCCGGTGGTAAACCCATACACTACCCGGTGTAGCACCGGCCGGTGAAATCACGTGACGTACATTAAGTAATCGAGTTGTTTCGTAATAGTTTGTGCTGGGGGCGCTGAGTTTTTCCGGTCTGCTGGTTGGACGAACACAGGCATGGCTGCAAGCCCATGGCCGTACTTGGTGGCACGTGAACAGTGAAACGTCTTGAACCTCCAATACTGTCAGGCGAGGAGTCGTCCATCTTTGCGTCGAGTCTCCGAACGACACAAACACAGCAGCGACATCATCACCGTACTCGCCTTGTGGCAGAAAACGTTCTCCTCCCGCAACTTGGGCTGCAAGGCGAGGATGGCCAGCATGGCCCCTACAGAGAAAGCGTCCGTGCTGGGTTCAGCAACGGTGTGCTCGAGGGAGACCTCGTGGGGAAAGTAGCCGGGAGTTCCGCACCGGGGGTACCTGTTGTGCCCGATTGCTGAGATACATGGCAAATAAACAACCAGTCACGGGTGTGTTGCAAGCACGCGACAGCGGGAGGAGTGAAACGGCGTCAGTGGGGGGAGAGGGTAGAGGGTTCGATGAGAGTATCGATTAACACCACGCACCACCACACCCAGAGAAGGAAACCCACATGAGTTGGGTGCCGTTGGGCATCGGCGCATACATAATGTTCGAGGGGGCTCAGGTGCTGCGCTGTGCTGCTGTGGATAGCAACAATGTTCCAGGATGAAGGTACGTACTTTTTGAGAACGTGTCATCGTGACCCTATGCATACAACCGTCAAGGATATATTACAAATCACCGCATATGATATTATCCTGCTGTGCATTTGGTTCTACCGCCTCCGGAAAGTCGTTACCGCCGAATAACGCAATATCGCCTACCGCCGAAATGAATACCGCCATATGGCGCTACCACCGAAAATGTGTCCGTCCGCCGAAAAAAGCGTTACCGAGTCGTTGACCCTTTGAATACTTTGTAACAATCATGTCGCAAAATTCCAAATTGTTGAAAGCAACAATAGGGTACGGAAAATGAGGCTCAATTCAGCCATCAGCAGACAGCGTGGACACGGACCAGTGTTAAGAATCGACCCGGTGAACCGCAAAAAAGCGCGCCCGACATAAAGGCTAAACGACAGAGTTTGGGCGTAAGCTGTGGTGCAACAGCAGTAGCTGTTCACGCATAGGTATGTGCTTGTGTCTTTCGTCTTTCCCTCCACTCACCGCACGACAGTCCGAAGTCCGACACCTTGGCGACGTAGCGGGCCCCGTTGTGCACGAGGATGATGTTGGAGAACTTGAGGTCGCAGAGGACGACCCCGTTGTCGTTGCAGTGCCTCGTGCCAGCAACGACGTCCGCCAGGCAGCTGGACGGAACAGAAAGAGAGGCGTGCGAAGGCAAGAAGGACAGATAGCAAGGCGACAGTTGGACGGTGGACATGAGCCAAACAGACTATCACTCATCAGGCGATACACGACCTGTCAGGTAGCCCTTGTGCAGACTGGTGACACGTGGTGAAGATTGTCGCTGGGGCACGTTCTCGGAGCATTGCTTCGGTAACAGCAGTTCAAACTCACGAGCACATACATTTCGCAAGAGTCTTTGTCTGCGGCGAGAACAAGTTCCGAAGGGTCGGTCTGAAAAACTATGTTGTAGGGTTGGGCAGCAATCACACGGCCGTACTCAGTCCTAGAGGTAGTGAAAACGTGGGCATGGGCTTGATGAGTTGATCTGGATGCACTCACTCCAACTCGTCCGGAAACGAGAGCCGCCCTCCGAAAAGTGCGTCGAACATGTCGCACTCGCCGCACTCCAGCGCCAAGGCCGGGGAGTGGGAGATGTCGTAAATGGCTCGCACGCCGAGGATGTTGGCGTGGGCGGGGAGGCTACCGGTAGGCCAAAGGGAAGGACAGGAAAAAAACACATAAGCACAAGGCAAGGGTGGCACAATATTTAATACTGAGAAAACAGCTAGCCGATTCCAGGAGCATGGCCACGGTGGCTAGCAGCCGCGGCAGGGCGCTGTTCAGGCACTCAGCTACGATGGACTCGACTGGCAGCTTGAAAGAAGAGTACACTGTATATAAGTACTTTGGAGCGTGATCTTGGCGCGGTGTTCGCCCCCGTTTCGAACGAGGTGTATCGACGATGTTCGCACTCACCTGCTGTACACAAGCATCTCGTGTATCAGGAATTCCTTGTCCATCTCCTGTAGATGAGGGTTGACGAGACATGGGGGGTTGGGGGGGGGGGGTCCCGTCATTCACAACGCTTTGCTCTTGATTAGTGGGCAACTGCTGCCGCATGCGGAGTCACAGCTGCTAGGAGCACCCTGGTAACTTCGGGGGCGGCGTCGGGAGTCATGGCTTGATCGAGGGGAAAAAGGTTGTGTTTTACCTCGTCTGGCGGGGTACAAACCACACAAGTCGGCGCATTCCCCTGTGATATCAGCAGAAAACCAGTCCCAAGTCTGCAGTGAACCCTACAGATACAAATTCATGTCTCATGGCGGCCAGACTATCCCATACACAAGCACGCCCTCCAACTCGCTCTCGCCTTCATGGGTCTCTTGATGGCCCACGTCGTCTTCGTCGCGTCGCAGACGGCCTTGTAGACGCCTCCGAAGGTGCCATGCCCAAGCTCCTCTTCCGCGCCCAGCATACCGCTCCCGGGAGCCAGAGCATCCCTCGCGGCTCGCAGCTGGAGTTTGAAGCCGTCGCGCATTCGCGCAACGAAAGCGTCGCGGCACTTGTTCTGCTGCCAGTTGCGCATCAGGTCCGCAAGCCTAGGCGTTGCCGGCGATCCTTGGGCTTCTTGCTGGGGCGCGGTCGCCAGGGCCCCGATGGAAGACATCAGCGGGGGTCCGGCGGCGCTACGCTCTACGGCTTCTTCCGCAAGACGGGCCATCGCCGCCTGACGACGTGTAACAATGGGGGTGAACAGCGCAGAGACTATCAGTGGCTTCAGCTCGGGAGAGAAACCAACAAACAGACGTCGATAGAGCGTGTCTAGGGCGTGAGCTGCTGCTCTATGGCGGTGGTTGGGGGTGGCAATTTTTGCCTGCCATGCAAAACGTATTTTGGTACACGTAGCGTACGGAAAGCAATTCGCTCTTGTCTTGCTAACGACGGTTGGTTCCCGAGAGATGGTCAACGCTTCCATTGACGCAGCCAACATGTGCACACACCATGGCCCATGAGGCGCCCACGTTCGGCGCCACCCCTGGTAGTATTCTTCCGTACAATACCGTCAAGATCAAATAGGGAGTAAAAGAAAGACCTCGGACCCACAACAAACGAAACAAACGCACCTCGGCGATACGAACCCTTTCCTCGGCGGTAGCCGCCCGCTCCTCGGCCACCCTCATTCGCTCGTCAACGGCCCGAGCCCTCGCTTCGACTACACGCGTCCGCCGTTCCGCTAGTTGCGCCTGCTGTTCTGCGGCGTCGGCGCGTTCGTTGTGGACCTCCAACTGGCCGAGGAAGTTTCCCTGCCGGGTTGCATTAAAAGAACAGCAACCCCGGCACGACAGGCGACGTAGGACCACCATGAGTGCCAAGTCCGGCGGCACACTGGAGAGCTCGAGGTGCTCACACGTCTATTGTTGTACCGCGGGCGATAGAAAATGCATCGAGAATGCACAAGTCGTACTGCAGTGTGCACGTGGCGGTGTTGGCCACATCCCACAACACGGGGCTTTATCTGCCGCTGACGACAAGCACGGTGGTGGGCACGAGAAACCTTTCTCGGTGACACAGGACACGGCCAGAGCATCTGAGATACGCGGCCTTCCGCTGCGCGTATCGCCATTCCGTCACGTGTCTCCATATGTATCAACTACCCACATACACTGACAAAAAATGACCGCAGCACCTACCTCGATACACCCAAGCTGGTTCTGCAACCTCCGGATCTTCTCGGCGCGCTGGTTTGCGATAATCTGTGATGGCGAGGGTTAGGATGTTGAACAACAACGGTGTGCAAAGCTGTACACCCCTAGCAGTATCATGCACACTTCGCACAGCTTGTACTGTGCAGATTTCAGCAGCATGCCCTCTGCCCGACTTAAATGGTCGATTGGTATACTATTCTCGAATCAGCACAGCTACTCAACTAGCCTGTCGTGGTGATGGCAGCCTGAGGGTAACGCTGGGTCGACAATACTACCACCAAGTCGTCTACAAAGAGTCTGCAAATGGGTGCAACGCTGCAAGTTTTAACGTGACTTGTGGTACACCAGAAAATCGCAAGCATACCATGCCCAAGGCACCCCAAAACATGCACTACAGGATCGAAGGGAATCTCGCAGGCGTGCCTCTCGTACCTATCCCGCGATAGTGAAGCAAACCAGCACCAACTTCCCAGATGGTCAGTCTGTCTGCTTACCGCCATGTGCCGCAGCTGGTGCTCCAACCGGGCAATGTATCCCTCCTTCCCGGGGATAGTTGCAGCTGCCGCTGCCGCTGCTGCCGCGGCCGCTGCCGCCGTCGCCGCTGCTCGTCCGGTTGCCCGAGTCGGCCTCGCTGCGTTCAGCTCGTTCATATTGAGCCTAAGCCGCTCGGGTGCTCCGAGTCGAGGCGGGGGCAGCAGTCCCGGCCCCATCAATGCCATCGTGCCGACATGATCGCCATACTATGCGGCAAGAGTAGCAGCAGCAGCACGTCCGCAGAAGGTTGTCATTGACAAAGCAAGAAACGTATTGCTTTGCGTGTGTGATTGCTTTCCGACAGCACAACCAAAACCAACCGCAACGCATTGAGCCGCAACACGTACGAGCGAGGAGATAAAATACACCCACTCAACAGCACCGATGCTGAGAAGCAAGCGCCATTGTTAGAAGGGTGTGATTGATGGGCAAACTAACTAGCATCGGTGCTGTTGGGTGGGTTTACTTTATCTCCACACTCGTAGGTGTTGTGGCTCATCTGCCTTTGGGCGCTGCTGTTGAAAAACAATCACACCCGAAAAGCGATAAGTATTTGTCCTACTTAGATAGTGATAACCTTTACGAACGTGCAGCTGGTGCTGCTGCATAGGATGGCGGCAATGACGGCAGGAAAACGTTGACGGGACCACGACCGCTGCCCGCGATGTGTCAACTCATTCCGATTCCGTGGCGAAGCAGCGTTCAAGCGCAACATGATCGCGCTGAACGCCATGAGGCCGACCGGAGCAACGACAGGAGTAGCTGCAACGACCGCTGCAGCTGCTTCTGCCGTCGCCAGAGTCGGCCTGGTGGCGTTTAATGCGTCGACGTTCCACCTGAACGCTGCTTCGCCACCGAACCTGTCTGATGCTCCGAGTCGAGGTTGACCCATCGCGGGCAGCAGTCGTGGCCCCGTCAATGTGATCCTGCCGTCATTTCCACCGTTCTATGCAGCAGCAGCACGTCCATTGAGGTAAGCAACATCTAAGTTAGACACAAATCGCATTGTTTTCCAACAGCAGCACAAAAATCAACACTGCAACGCACTGAGCCACAAAACCTACGAGTGTGGAGATTAAATACATCCACCCTATAGCACCGATGCTGAGAAGCCAGCGTCAATCATTTTGAGGGTGTGAATGATGGGTAAACTGAAGCCTGCCGGGTGTACGTCACCGTTATATTTTTGTGCGATACAGACAGGTTAGACCAACGAGTTGGGGAATGACAATGGTGAATGAATAGTTAGTGTGGAGCGATTTCAGCAAGCTTTGGATATGGCCACCGTTGAAGAAAAAAAATGGTAGCGGTTGTTGGACTCGAATATAAATAGTGTCTACCGGTCACGGCTCGAAGAACACTTTTCCAGTAAAATATTAATATTGTTATCACCAGCTAAAATATATTTCCGTTTTGTAGAAGCGTCAGGACGCCCGCTAAGCATTTTTCAATAGCCGCGGTGAGCATTGTCCATCCATGTCTAAGCAAGCGTCACAGACGAAGTTTTTTCCATCTCTTCATCAGCACAGCGCACCCCAGCCAACCCATCCAGAGAATCAGCACAAATGGTTACAGCAGGCAAGGTTTGACCTCGACCCGTTGACTACAGAGTTGGAGATCAGCACGGGGCCCATCAGTTCCCAGGTCAATCATGTGATTGTGCCGATGAAGAACGGCACGAGATCCGTTCGAGAAGCTTCAAGTTTGTCCAAAACAACTTGTGTTCGGGCCCTTGACTACGATTTCACTGGCACAGCGTCCGTGGCGCCAATACAGCGTTGTTCAACTCTTTTGTTCCCTTGGTGCACTCAGTGCTGCGAAATAGCTCTTCAAGAATGTATCACGTTCAGATATCCCGTAGCTGCGGTTGACTATTTTGTTGATTGAAGCCTGTTGAACACTTTATTCTCACCACGCCCACCAAGCGTACACGGCTCGAGGAGCAATTCTGTGGAGGATACGGATCGTTCGCGAACACAACATGATTTTGACTGCATGTATGGGGGAAGGATGCTTCCACCCAAAGCTGAACGCAATCTTGTTGGATGTGCCTTGTCCAAAGATCAAGGTTGTTGGACTACGGTCGCCTTTACTAAAATGTACAAAGTGTAGTGTAGTGTTGTTGTTGTTGTTGTCGTCATTGCTGCTGCCGCTGCTCCTGCTGCGGTCAAAACAAACCGGGAGAGACGATCGAACCAGGCCAAAGAGGAAGAGAAAAGAGAAAAAACGGGAAATAGAACAAGGAACAGGCCTCATCCAGCTTGCACCCAGCGACAAAAAAAAGAATCTAAGAGGGAGAGAGGGGGGATGGGGGAATGGAGTATTATCGCCGCCGTGGTGTTGCACCGGCCGAGCTAATCCTCACACGGCCATCCAAAAACCAATTGGTGTTGGGTAATTTCCTTTCTTTTTTGGCTCGCAACGGAGTGCTCACATATCTGTCGACATATATATGTAGTCTAGACTGGGGATATTTTCGGGAGCCGGCACAGGGTGCGAGATGGCCCGGACACGGAAAGTGCAGGCATGCGTTTAGCCCCTACCTCTTGGTTCTGTAGACCATCGTGAGGAGCTGTCTGCTGATCTGTACTCTATAGAGCCACTGACTTATATTTTGAGCGAGAGAGGGAGAGCTGAGAGTGAGAGAAAGAGAGCTGAGAGCTGGACTCCACAAAACAGGCAGTGTTCACTCGACAACCAAGATCAAGATTTGTCGCAGGGAGGAGCGAATTGGACGCGCCGCGAGCAGTGGCTACTCGGCTAACCCCAACAGCAGTTCTACTACATGTATGCTACCAAGACCAGCACGCTGATGCGCTGGAAGGGGTCTCACCTGCGCCCTCCCGGAATCTTGCCGAACTCGCCCATGTGGAGAAAGCATATCTAACGTTAGCCAGCCGCTTGTCTACAATTCAAGCGTGGGGTCACCCTACCAGCTCTCGCGAACGTAGTGAGGGAGACCAACAACCCTCACGGCCTCAGCAGGTCAAGGTGCGTGTTGTCAGGTAGGAGTAGGAGGGGTGCACTTGAGGTCAGGTGGGGATTTGGAATGGATGTGTCTGTGTGCACGTACAATACTCAGCGCCAACGCGAGCGGTATCATGCCGAGGAACAAAACATGACAGTCCCGAGACCGACCGGCACCAATCTACGACTTCTACGAACGAACGTGTTCCGCTGGGCCGGGCATGACTGAAACAGGAGACAGAGGCACCTGGAACTGGCCTGCACCTCGGCAACACGCACCCTAGATGGCATAGGGTACAGGTACAGGTGGGGGCGAGTTGCGCATCGTAGAGGAACATGTTCCCCCTTCGGTCCAGGCCGTGAGCGACTATTACAGCTACAGGGACGCGGGAAAAGGGTATTCGCGAGAGAGAGGACAATTTCAAACACGCAGGGGGCGGTTGGGGTTCCGAAATGCCACCGGTGCAAGGCGGACGGTGCCAGTCTCCTGGAAAGGGCCAAAGTCCCGATGGACGGTGGATGCTGAAGCTCATCTATCCGAACGCGGTCAACCTCGACTCGTATCTCGGGGTGTGGTTGCAAGCTGTCGCGGCGGCAGCAGCGCCTGGCTCTGCGTCCCTGGCCGCAATCGAGGGCTGCGGCGGACCTGCCTCGTACCTTAGCCGCCAGGATGACGGCCCGGAGTACAAGAAGGTCCGTAGCTCCATAGCTGGTGGGAGTGCTAGAGGCCGGAGCTTGATTCATGAGACAGCAAACGAAACTATTGTACCCAATACCGCGTGAGCATGCGTCGCAAATTATCTGCCAAGCAATGCACCGCGTTGGTGTATTTCTTGTTTGTCAGTTGCAGACCGAGGGCTACTGCTGTACGCGGGCCCGACTTACCGTTGCAAGCATACGTTTCGCGGTGTATCTTTTGGCTAAATGGTAGGGCTGCGCTCTTTTGGGGATTCGGGGTTGGTTGTCGGCAGCACATCTACAAGGCCCTTTTCTTGCGGCAGCATGTGGCTCGCTACTACCTGCCTTGCTCTGTCGGTTGCTCCTCATACACGATTTTGAACGTGTCCCACCGGGCGCCTTTGGGCATCAGCGGCTTGTATGCTTGCCTTACCCCCACGCCCTCCCTATCGTCCGTCTTCTGTCAGATGTTGAAGGAAACCCTTGTCGCCTTCCACCCTTCTCCTGTACAAGCGGTGCCAGGGGAGGCCCACGCACCTCTGCCGCGCCACGCGTCACTTCAGCACAGGTCCTCCATGGCAGACCTTCTGGATCGCGTGGTGAAATCGCTCCTGCGCTCATCGACCGTGGGAGGACAGGTGCGGTGTAAGGGCTACATGCACATACCTGTGCACCTGGCTCCTTGACGGTTGGAGACCACGCGTTCCTTTTCGGATACCGGAGGATGCCCGCTGCAGTGGTCATGCCGTTTTCTTTGTTGTGCGTTTTGCTCTTTTGCGGCCGAGGGTTGGCTTCATGTTGTGTCATGAACGTATCTGCATCCCCAGACCTTTTTGTGCACTCGTGGGTAACGGCTGAAGCGTCGCGAAGCTGCCCTCCAAGGCTCACCGAACTGCACAATAGCCGAATGAACCACCAAGAACCCCCGATGACCTCAAGAAACACCCCCGCTACATGATACCCCGACCCGCCTGCTTCTTCTTCTATCTTTCGTCGGCAGGGGAACAGTGTCGGCGGGTACTACGCCGCTCAGGGAGACGACCCGCGCCGTAACGTCCTCTCCCTCGGATGCCGAGTAGCGGGACCGCAGGCGACGAGCGAGCTGCTGAGCGTGCAAGGGGTAGCATGCACGTTTCCTAACACTACGGTCAACGTCATCCGGTCGCCTCCGTGGGAGCTCCTGCTGTCCAGAATTGGGGATGACTTGATGTTTGCTCTCCTGAGACAGCACGCCGTGCTGCAGCGGCTGCCTAACCGCTGGTACATGCAGGCAAGGCCTCGACAGTCAGCACCAACGATGCTCAATGAAGGGTGGTATTGAAGCAGTAGCAGAACGATGTTTTGGTCGGTGTGCCCAACGATTGTGGTACATGTTCGCGTGGGGCCTTCTTGTCCAAGGGGGGGTTTCAGGGCACAAGCGTGTCCAGGCCGTGTGGGCTTCTGATTCCAAAGTTGTCCTCCCTGTTCGTTTTCTAGCGCTCCACAAGTTTCGTTCCCCTTCCCGTACCCCTAGCGCGCTGCCTGCTGAACGAAGGCCCAATCCCGGGCCGCAGCCAATGATCCCCTCTCCCTGACCCCCCACCGAAGTCCTCTTTCCGGGTTGGCATTGTCAGTCTCAGACGCCGTTTCCTGACTGCATCCCCCTTTCCCATCCCCGTCCCCGACTCCTGCCTAGCAGCTCGTGGGGCGTCCGGTGCCGGACCTGTGCCGCCACCTGGGCCTCACCTCCGGCACGCTGTCGTCTGCATCTTCGGCAGCGGCGCCCGTTGCTGGTGGCGTTGGTGGTTCTGCTGCTGCTTCTGCTGCTGCTGCTGGTTCTGGTTCTGGTGGTGGTGCTAGAACTGTCGGCGCGAGGGAGAGAGCTATTCGCCCTTCCGAGAACACAGCGTCTAGCAAGAAAGGCAACGAAGCACAGGGGCCAGCATCCAGGAGCGCCCCTCTGGGACGTGCGTCGTCGTCCACTTCCCCTGCACAGGATACGCCAACCTCTTCCATCGCTGGCGGCAAGCACGGCACGAGCGCGGGGGGGGGCAATGGGATACCGGCGAGTAAAGACCCCCCCGTTGCGCGGCCCGTGGTGCTACTGCCTCGGCGGCGCATGTTCTACTCAAGCACGTTTGTGAGGTTCGTGATCCAACGGGGCGGGGGGATTGCGGGTGGGCGAGGCGCTGTTGTTTTTTATTCTTGCCAGATCCTTTTCTTTTCACTTGAGCGGACTGCCTTTCGGTTGTGACTGCTGCAAGCACGACGGTTTTGTGGCCTTTTTTCTCTACACGACTGCGGTCGGCGCATTAGCGCCATGGCGAGGGTGGGTCGATATCCTGATATGGCTGTGGGTCATTCCCCCCTCGTTTTTTCCCTCGCCGCCCCCCCCGCGCCTCATCTTTACATCATTATAGTCGGTATTACCATTTTTTGGCGGCCCCACGCAGGTGCTGCAAGTGATGTCAGTCGGCATGGTCTGCGCCTCTTCTCACACGCACATTACCTCGCTCAGCGCTTAAGCGCCCAGCCGTTGCTGACATCCCGTGTCTTGTTCTTTTTTCTTTCAGTAAAGCTGGTTTTCCGCGCGGACACGTCCTCAATCCCTGTGGCCAGGCACCGGCGGCGGCCGGCGGGGAGCAGGCTGGCCCGCCGCCCGCCGCCTCGCACCAAGGAACTACCGGCAACCGCGCCACGAACGGAAATACCTCTGGCTCTCCCGTCGGAGATCCCGCTATCATCAGCAGGGTCGCCCACGACTTGGTACGCGACGCGTTTGCTAGCAGCCTGCACGGTGAGGACCTGGGCCGGCAGCAGCAGCCCCTGGGCGACGCGGCCCACGGTAAGGGCAGACCGGGGGTGCTCCAGCGCGCCGGGTCGGGAGTGATGCCGAAGGCGACGGGAGCCTCGGGAAAGGTAGCTCTAGGGGATGGGGGGGCGCGCCGCAGGCTTCCAAAGAGGCTGCGACGAGCTGTTCCGCTGTTCGAGGAAAGGATTGGGAGAGCGCACCGCTGCAACATCGGGAGGCTGCTGGAGGCGCAGTGCCCTCTGCCGCAGTCGGTACGCGGAACGAAGGCGGGGAAACGAGGAGCAGGCGAGGGAGAGCAGCCGCTAGGTACGGCTGGAGGAAGAGCAAACGGGCAATAGACGATGTCGTTGCGAGTCCCATGCGCCGTGCCTCTTGTTGACGACAGCATCGGGCAACAATGTCCACACGTTTGGGCGTAGAAATACCTCTGCAAGTTCTTCCCTGTATTGTGCTGATGCTGCGGTACTATAGACGTAGATTCATGATGGCCTGACTCTCAAACCCCACCGTACACACGAACGCCCGCAACGAAACAGGCCCCAACAAGAGGGAGGGGGGGTTTCAAGCCGCGGCGCCCCCACCCAGTCCGTCCGACGTTTCTACCTTGCACGAGGAGGTTGGGGAGCAAGCGGAAGATGTTTCAGCGGCGGATTTGTTGCGGCAGGAGGTCACGGCGAGCGGGGATGAAGACTCTGGTTGGGAAGGAGGGGGAGGAGACAACAGCAGCAGCAGCAGCAGCAACGACAGCGAGGATGAAAATAAGGAGCCGGGGGAGAGCGACGAAGAGGAAGACGTGATGGACACCGGATCGACCGTGAAGGAAGTGCGCATGGAAGACAACGACTCTTTTACCGTACGCACTCATGGCGGCGTCGGCGGGATATCGTGCGCCGACGGCATGCAGGGAGAGGAGGAGGAGGAGGAGGGTATCGGAAGCGTCCTCAGCAGCGACAGGGCTAGTGCCGAACGAGCGGCCGAGCCAGAGCGACTCTTTCGTGGAGGGTGCGCGGATGCCTCCCCGTGGGGATCTGTATCTCGGGGAGCGGTAAGAGAGCTGCTCTCGCTCCTCGCACAGCTGCAACGACGCCTCAAAGCGCGCTGATTTGTTTTTGGAGTAGCTTTTCCTTTTGCAGCACTTGCGAGGTGTTTTTCACCGTTTGCTCCTTTCTCGGTACTCGGTCTACTTGTCGGGTTGTCGCAAGCAGCAATGCCTTCGAGGTAAGAGGTTTTCCAAGTCGTCCCAATTCGTGTTTGCACCTCACCAACGTGAGTCCAGGTCCAGAGGACGACGGGCATTATCGACGGCGCAGACTTCGTTCCCGAAACATTCACCTCGTGTCTTTTCGGTTGGGGGACTGAGCCTTTTGGAGGACATCCCGACTTATTTTCGACGCTTGTGCTCGTGGCTTTTGATGGCGCAGCGTGCTTGACCGTCTTTCGCTTGATTGGCCGTGCTTCTGGGTAAGCCGCTCGTTGTCTTCGTGTGGCTTGCTGAGAGTCTTCCCGAGACCTCTGTTGAAGAGGTCTCACTTCCCCGAGCGTGTGGGCTCCATCTCGTGACGACGAGTTTTGCACTAAAAGAGGCAATTGCGTGCGGGCCTCTTGGCGCAACCTCCCCACGAACAATCGTTTCGAGCGTTCTCACTCCCGTACAGCGGTGATGGGGTCCCCTAGTGGCTTCCGACGCGATCGGAAAACGTGGTCCATCGCTTCTTCCGAGAAAAACCCAAGCCTTTGCGGCTCGTGGTTTTTGGGTACGTAGGTTCACTAATCCCTGCCACTGTCGTCCGTCTCGCCCAGCACGAGTCAGGCGGCGGCTCGAGCGGTTCGAGCAGCGGGGGGGACGACAGTGGGAATATTTCGGATGCTACCCTGCTTGACGAAGCCCCGACGGCTAACGGTGAGGGGAAACGTAACGATCATCGCGACGAAACGCGCAATGTTTCTCCTTCGTGGCACGTTTTGTTGCACCAATGAGAATGAAGACAGTTAACCGACGTTCGCCCTGTGTGCCGCCTTTGATGTGTAGAACCTGATGCAAGATACACGCACTTTTTGGTTTTGAGGGATATGGTGTCGTTCGTACGAGCGCGGCGTCGGCAACAGATTGGTCGCCTTGATGTGAGCTTCTTTCTCTCTCCGACCGTCTCCCGCCTCTTGCTTTTTTGTCATAAGGAAAATTTTGGCATGTCCGCGTCGACTCTCCGAGTTTCCCGAGTGATGGCTGGGGTCAATCAGCACGACGATATCCAGCATAGCGCTACCTCTCTATTTCCTTTGTTTGCCGTGCAGGTGCAAGCGCGCTTGCCGCAGGGGTACAGGCCAGTCCCCCCCTTCCCCCCCCCGACCAACCCACGTTCAGCGTGGACCCCAACACGACGTTCATCGAGATGGCTACTGAGCACCGGCGGGTGGTGGATTTCCTTTGCCAAGCGTGCCACAGGGTGAGCAAGCACTATCCGGACGACCGTCCCTGCTAACGTCGATGACTCTGGTTTGGTGGGTGTCGTTCACCAGGCATGCTTGCGGTTGAGTGTAATGGCCATCTGTGGTGGTCGAGTGCTGTGGCGACGGGAGTGTTGCTGTATCGTGTCCTTTCATGCCCTAGGGGGGAGTGATGATGAGTGTCGCTTTAATACGTTGAAGAGATATGCGTGTAGCGATGTCTTTCGTGGTAGCGTTTGCGCTTGATGACGCAGCCGTTTCTTCCGCAATGTGCTTGTAGGCCAGAACGCGGAGCGAAGTTTTTACCTGTGAGCGATTCATCGCACATCGCTGTCGAGACTAATCCGCGGCATCTTGGCCTGATGCCAACGCATGCCACTGGCGGGGAGGAAAGGGAAGGAGCGAGTGCGACAGGAGACAGCAGAGGGAGGTCGTTTTTTGAACCGAACCAAGTTTCTCCGTTTACCGCTGTGCTAACCCGTAGACTTGTGAGCTGATCTGGAAGGACCAAGCCCGCTCTCCTCCTCGCCCTCTGCGACCCTCTATGCATGCTCCACGATCCTCTTATTCTCTTCACAGATATTCCCGACAGAGCTGTGGGGATCCAGGCGCAACATGGTGTGCCTATCCCGAGGGATCGAGCGCTTCGTCGTTCTCCGATGGCACGAGACCATGTCGGTGTTGGAGGTAAGATTAGGTCCACAAGCGGCCGCGTTTGTTGAAAAGCCATGAGGTACAGGCCATCGGTTGCTTGGTGAGGAGAGATCAGGGACTGGCCTGGCAACGACAACCATTGCAATGCTTGTTTCGTGACGCAATGAACACGAAACATTGTTGTGTCTTTTTGCTCCCTGGCGATACACTCGGGGTCAGTTGTCGGGCAGTGTTTGTAAATTGGCGACCGTTTGAAGTATTGGGTGGGACGCTTGCTGGTGTGCGTGCAAGGATACCCACGCCTTAACCTTCAACGAACATTTGGACGGAGCTCGGGGTGTTGTGCGCTGTCACTCTGGTGCGATTCGACTCAAAACACAATTTGTCAAAGAGCATCTCGTTATTACCTGCTGTTCGTTTCTTCTTTGGTCGACTGGGCACGTGCTCAAGGCTACTGCATTTTTTTCACAACCTTTTTTGGTACGCCATGGCCAGCAGACCTCAAACCATCCCGAGACGAGAACCATTGCTCTAGACTCGCAGGAACACGGCCGGGTGCTTGTGTCGCTCGCCTTAAACAAGGGAAAGTCCCATGTAGGTGTTATACTCTTCACCCCGTTTTCTCCGGCTGGTGAGAGTTTTTATCGCCCTGTGCGTCGCTCTCCGTTGACTCGTACACGCCGCACGACGCGTTCAAACTGGCACTGGCCCGAAACGAAGCGCGTCATGAAGTCTTCGTGTTGGAATCATATCGCGGTGCCCCTACCCATTCATCATCATCTGTTGCGCCATGCTGCTGGAATGTTTCTGGCGGCAGGTGACCGCGGGCATGCGCACGTCAGATCTAGAATGGATGGCCGTCGGCGCAGCGGATGGGAAAGCTCCGCCGCCGCCGCCGCCGCCGCAGCAGCAGCAGCAGCAACAAGACCAAGAGCCAGCGAAGACGCGGAGGGTTAACAACGGGAAGCGGAAGGCGAAGGGAGGCCCAGTCGGGGGCGACGGCAACTGCAAGCGTCCTAGGGGGGGTGCCGACGCCGGCGGGGCCGCAAACGGGACAGACAGAGCCAGGGCGGACTCGCATGGGCATCACGGAAGTGAAAGGATTCACGGCGGCGGCGGCGGCAGGGGTAGCGGCAGCGTTGAAGCCAGAGGGTCGTTTCCTGGTACGTCGAACCAAGGCACCAAGCGGGCAGACACGTCGAAGAAGAAGAAGGCTAGGGGCGGGGGCAAGGGGAGGGTGGCAGTGGGGTCTAAGGGAGACAAATCGATTCGGCGGCGGCGGCGGCGGCGGACACGCCAGCGTCTCCCCCCGAGCGATTTGGCGAAGCGAGTCGAGCTTTTGGAGGCCCTAGTGCTCTGGACGTTCAAGGACGTCATCGTACCGCTGGTGGGTTTGTTCCCTCACCATGGCGTTATTTTTGTTTGGATGCATCTTGTCGCGTGATACAAAACAATCGGTTTTGGACCGTCCTTCCACGCTCGGTATCTTTGCAATCTAGAAGAGGGGACATTGCAATCCCGAGGTGAACGGAATAGGAAACTCCTCGTCGAGAGCTTTTTCGAAGAGGCACACGTCGTTTCGGGTTGGCGTGGCTGCGCTTGTGGGGAGAAGATCGAGTGGTGGCGATACCCGGTGTTGTTGCATGTTTTTTGGTGTGGAGGGCGGGGCGGCTCTGTCGCCCCCTCTCTACCAATCGCAGCCAGTCCGCAGTCCTGCGAGACGCTGCGATCACAGCCCGCCTCTAGAAGGCATATTGTGGTAGTAGCCTATGTAGCTGATTTCTTTCGTGGTTCTTTGCCCATGTCGTCGCACACCCCCGCTCCACGTTCGTCGACATCAACCTGAAGCGATTAAGAACACAATCATCGTCCGCGCAAGAAAATCGTATCCCTCATGGTCAACGCCAGAAGGCACGAGGCGCAAGCTTGACTGCTACCCCTCTGCATTGAAACATACAGTATGGACCTTTCGGATACAAAGGGTTTTAAACATTTCCAAACAAGGTGGTATGACAAACTAGGACCAGGCACGAGGCCTGAGCTTCACTGATGTCACTCTGTTAGTATCTGTAAAGACCTTTCGAATGCGAATGTGGATATCTCAATGGTCCCCATATATTCAAACAGAGTGGTGTTGACGATGACAGTGCAGCCAGGGCCAAAGCTTACGTGTCTGCTCGGGTGATGCGTGATTGTCCTTTCGCTTTCTTGCTTGGTGTGTGCGTCCGCACTTGCCACCTCCGTAATTTGTGTGTATCTGTGTTCGTCGCCTCGGCCGCGGTTTCGGCTGACCAATTAAATTACGTCAGTCTCAGTGCGGCTGAAAGCAGAGAATGATTGTAACCCCATGGTCTGGGACCCCGCGAGGGGGAGGCTAAGCTGCTTGTTCATCCGTGTTTTATTTTTGGAGCAGTTGAGGTCGCTCTTCTACGTCATGGAGTGCGAGACGGCGTCCCAGGAAGTCTTCTTCTTCCGGAAGCCGGTGTGGGCCAGGTTCAGGTGTGTATGTATGTGTTAGTGCGGAGATTCTTGCGTTCGAATGGAAGGTTTGTGCTATGATGGAAGGGTTGTGTTCGGATGGCGAGAGTGTTTTGAAACCTCGCCGTTCTCCCGCAAAGCCGGTGTGGGCCAAGTTCAAGTGCAGCCCTGACATTTCGTTTTCGCACGGGGCTTGTTTTGGAGCCATGCCATCTACTACGGTACGGGCCGACCTGATGCTGCTTCATGTTTTGAGGAGTCTACCATAGAGAGCCGCAATGCGCAGCGTTAACACCGGGCATGTTCGCGAAACGAATGACCGAGTCCCGTTGACCGCTAACCACCGCCACGGGCGAGGGAACGAGAGAACATTGAAAGCTGTAATTTTCGCGAGAAACGTGTCTGACACGGTTACATGGGGTTCAGATTGGAGGAGGCTTTTCTTTCAAGAGATACGTTCGCTGGTACCCCGTGCCGCAGGTAATCGACGCGTGCGCACGAGAAACTGGATACGACAATGGCAAAATACTCGTGAGCGCCCGGTTCCTCCTGACCCCCGATTTCTCCAATGATCACCCCCCGCCCTGCTTCCCGACCGGCGTGGTGATCCGCCTACCCCACGCCCACTCCCCACACAGGACGGCGTCGCTTCGGCACCTGACATCGCGGCAGTACCGACGAATCAGCATGCAAGAAGCCCTCCAGAGGCGCGACGGTTTCGCCGGACAAGCGGAAGAGGGGGCGGCGAACCGGCAGCCATTTCGCCCCCTCCACATCGGCACGTCCTGCACCCAGAGCGGGTCTCCGACGAGGAGGAGAAACGTTGGCGGGGGTGCTAGTGGGTGAGGGATGTGCTTGATCGACCGGTTTGGTATGTTTGACGCGATGGCAGCTTTTGGTGCGCTCAACACGACAGTACTGGGGGTGGTGCGTGCTCAACTGCCGACGGCGAAAGGCTTGCCGCAGTCATCATGGTCGTGTTAAACCTCCCTCTAGCTGTACGTCCGCTTGTTGTGTGTCTTCTCAGCCAGAAAATGACGTGTGCATATCACCCGCGGTGTTCGCGCTACGTGGCACTACTACTGGCCGTGTGCCGCTACTTTGTGCCCGTGCGGCTATTTAGCCGATCGTCTACTTCCCCCCAACCCACTACTTCCTTTCTTCCCCTTGGCGCAACCCCGACCATTCGCGTGAAATAGGCTATGAGAGCAAAGTTGCGTCTCACAGGTCGCTGCATTTTTTGTCTCTCTTCTGATTCCGCGGAGCCTCGCGTGTCTCGCTCTTTTGCTTCGGCAGGCAAAGCGGGTTTGGCGCCAAGGGCGGGCGGGGACGTCTCAACCACCACGGGTGGGCGTTTCCCGTGTCCGAGGTGCGACTCGTGCCCAAGCCGAACGGGGTCCGAGCCATCGCGAACCTGTCCAAGAGGACGTGGGCCGACAGGAGTCGCGTGCAATGGGTCAAGGGCGTCCCTCTTCCTCTACCGGTAGATACGAGATTTGGCGCTTTCTGGTCCTTTCTGTTGTGTGTGTATGCGTTCCCTTTTCCTGCACATGTGGTTTTCTTCCATTTTGTTTTTTTCGATGTTTTCGTTTTCGTGCTGCCCTTATTTGTTCTTGCCTTTGAGCGCCTGTTGAGACAATCAGGTTTACGCGCTCTTGCTCCGTTTTTGTAGTCGACCACACCAGGTACCTCGTCCCGTGCAGTTGAATTCTGTCGTTGCCCCTTCGTGTAAACACGGCGGTGACCTCGTTGTTGTCGAAGAATTCAGTATTAGTTTCGTGTGGAGTTGCCTAGATGCTCGTCTTGGTGGAACGGCATCACTAGCTTCCTTTTTCGCGACACTAGCGGCGTCAATAACAACAACGGCCCTGGTGAGTAACGTCAACACCGCAAACAAAACGTCCAGAACCATTATCCATTGAGATACACACCGAGGAGAGGGCCAACCTAGCGCCCGACTGTCTCGCGCGACCGACCCCCTCCCCGTATGCAGGCGCCACGAAGGGTTTCCAATCTGGAACGCGCGACGAGCAACGCGTCCGCATCCTCCGGCGGGGCAGGGGCTGGTGCTAAGGAGACTCCGAGGGTGGGAGGTGGTCGCCTGGGAAGCGAGGCTGCTGGGCTAGGGTCAAGGAGAGGGGGAAGGGGGTCTCGCGGGGACAGAGGAGGGTGGGAGGGGGCGGTCGAGGAGGACGGTCGGGGGGGGCAGGAGCGGCAGCAGTACCCTCCTGCCCTCCACCAACATGCAGCTGTCCAACGCTTTCCATGTGAGTTTGAGCGGAGCCGCATCTCCGCCGTTCGAAGCTGGTTTGCAATGCTCTCCTGTCAGTGTACTGGTGATTTTGGGTCCTCTTTGTACATCTTTGTACACCTGCACCCGACGTGACGCTTTCGGACGTATTCAGCGTTGCGGCCGACGAGAAGAAAAGCCATATTTCCCCCACTGCCACCGTGCACAGCTTGCCTGTCCTATTGTTGCGTGTGGGCTCGGACTAAGACGGCGACAACATAAGCCATTATTGTTTTTGTCAATCGACCTTCGCTCGGTGTTGCCTTCTTTCGTGGCAGCCTAGGGCAACACGAGAGCAGCAGGTCTGAAAAAGGACCCGCATCTGTGTACGCCAAGAAGGTCTCCCCCCTAAAAAAGAACCTGTAACCGCGTCGCCAGCACCCCTCTCCTCGCCCAACACCTATCCCCTAGTAATTCATCACGCAATATTTCGTCGATCGCACCCCCTCCAACTGTAGCCAACACTAACCTTGGCCGCCACTTCCGCCGACAGTATCCATCCCCGCTGTGCCCGGGCTCCCTGTTTTTCTCTTGTGTAGCAGTTAGCCTTAATCGATTCACACACCTTCCTTGCTCCGCTCGCGACCGCCCACCGGTTTCCCCCGCCGCCAACGCTGGCCTTGGCCTTGTCCCAACCAACACGACTACCACCACAGGTCCTGAAGAACGAGTACGTCAAGAATCCCTCCTTGGTGGGGGCGGGGGTGTTCGGGCTGGACGACGTCTTTGCCCGGGTAAAGCCTTTCGTGTGTCGAAACCTCCGCCCGATCTTCTGGGCCTCATCCACCTCCTCCTCGTCGCCGCTGCTGTTCGGGCAGCAGCGACGTTGGCGGCAGCCGCAGCCGCAGCCGCCGCCGCAGCAGCAGCAGCAGCAGCAGCGGCGTCCGCCCGCTGAAGAAAAAGATGGTGATGGCTGGGGGCACCGTCGTTGTTGTGGGCGAAGGGGGGTGGGGGGTAGGGGCGGCGGAAATGGGCATGTGTTGCCCCCTCTGTACTTTGCGTCCGTTGATATCAAGCACTGCTACGACACCGTGGACCAGGTGTGTTTTGTGCTAATCTGTTCGATACCGGGGCTTGAGACGAATCAAAACCTTGTGTTCTGATTGGCCGAACGAGAGTCAGGCCTCGCATTGTTTGGTGGAGCGCACATTCCCATATACAGATTGGGATAGGAGCAACAATAGCAACGTTATCAGACCCAAGAACCCAAAAAACCAACGGGGGCATTGTTACAATTATTTCGCGTTGTTTGTGTGCGCGTTCTCTCTGTCTCTGTCTGACCTGTCTGTCTGACTTGCCTTACTCTGTCTCTTTTCTGTGCCTCTACGCCTGTCTCGTGTGATGACAGCTCGACTGATGGACGTTGTCCGGCCCCTAGTAACGTCGGAGGACTACGTGGTTCAAAAGTACACCAAGTCACACCCCTTCAAGGCCATGGGAAGAGTACAGGCAAGAACAGAGGATAACTACAGAAACCTGCCATGAAATCGAAATCACTTCTTAGCCACACGAACAGCAAGGCGGGTTTGAGTCTGAGGCGAGAGGAAGGAAACGGGCAAGATGTATCGATGGAAGGCCGGAACAAATGCGGCGCAACCATGCGCGTTTCGGGGAGCTATGCGCCAAACGCAGCAGGGCAGCCCTCTATTAGTCAATGACGATAACAAAGTGGGTTCGACAGAGAGGCGGGCTGCGATTGTTAAACATCTGGGGAACATTCCCGTCAAGGCTCGGCGGCGAGTGCCAAACTGAGTACCACGTAGCAGATGATGCTCGGGGTTGTTGTTGCTGGTGTCGTTGGTGTGGTGAGGCGATGATCTTGTTTGTGTAAAACAAATACTTCTGACCTAGGCGTCAAAGTCGGGGCTGAACCCGATGATGTCTGGTTTCTCATGAGAGGATGGGTATTGCATACACTGGTTCTCAGGTGAACCACGTTAAGGAGGCGGTCGCGATGGAGGACCTGGTGCAGTTTCAGACCTGCAGTGAGAAGTTGGCGGACGAGAGCGTCGACACTATCTTCACCGACCAAGTCGTCTACGGCATCGTGAACAGGTACTGGTGGAGGATGGATTCGCGGTTACAATTCCTGCCGTGTTTTCTCACGCTGCAGTACGTTCGATTACCTCGCATACGCCTATCTGGTATTCTCATTTTGATG